CTGGACCAAGTATTTAAACACTATATGTGCAATCATTAACTAATCATGTAGCAAAGTGAGTAGAGATATTAGTGGCCATACAACAAAGATGGACTTGTGGAGTTAATTTAAATGTGAAAAATTAAATGGTAATAGTTTCAACCTTCTGGATAGTGGCTGACATGACAGTCACCACCACCACTCTATGCAATGTCAGTGACAAGGTTTCACCATATGATAGAAATACAAAGAATAACGGTGTCTGTTTGGAATTCTCAGGTAACTGAGACAGGAAGAACTTTCTCAGACTGGCTTCACCACACAACTTCCTCATATGGAATCCAAGGCTGTAGCTGCCTGGGTATTAAGGGAAGAGTGAATCACTGAAGTCTGCAGAGTGTGCCTCAGATCTGTGTCGATCCTCCTAGGTGACTGAGGAGCTAAATTTGGAAATGACATTTCGAAACTGGGTACCCATGTTGCTATAACGATTTTCCATTGCAAGGGCTGTAATGCTGTTTTTCTACAGCAGGTGAGATGATGGCTTCTTCGGGCTCTGAGACCCATCCAGTGTGGCACCTGGACATCATACAACACTAGCCCTGCTGTACCACTTTCTCTAAAAGACACAGTTTACTGTGCAGCTTTTAACCTGCACTGAAATCTGAGCAGTGCACGACTGTCACTGCAGCATGAGGGTGTCCTTCCCAGCTCAAGTTTCTTTGGATGGAGCTCTAATGGGAAAATTATTATCATCTAGTTTCAGAAGAAGGTAGATTCTCTGGAGGGCATGTATTTTTATTTATCATTTTCATTTATAAGGTGCAATTTTTTGAATTGTGGTAAAGTGCAAATAATATAATTTACCAAAATAGCATTTTGGTGACATCAAATGGAGACTGTCTGGGCTCCCTACCCCTTACCTTCATCTGCACTCTTTCTCTGTTCCCAAACAAGAATTCTGTGCCTGCAAAGGAACAAATGCCACACCGTCTGACCAGCCCTGTGGAACATCCATTTCCTGTCTCTGATTTTCACTATTCTTAGCACCATGTATAGGTTGCTTCTACAATATTCATCTTTTAGAGACTGGCTTAATAATGTTACAACCACTCATAACATTAAAACATTAGACTTTCCCCTCCCCCAGGTTTGTGTTGTCTTGGCAGCTACAAAATAAATCCAAACCTTTGAGTGATGAAAAACTATGAAGTAAATGAGGAGTAAGACCCAATTTTCTTACGTGAACACCTGTGCATTCTTGTTTTGGCAGCTATTGCAAATGTCATTCATCTCCATTACAATTCCTGCAATGCAATTGTGGATAAAACTTCTACTGATTTTTGTCTGTTGATTTTATTTACTTAAATGTGCAGTCTGCCCAATAGATAACCTGGAATTTCCAGTGTCATATGACCCAGGAAAGTTCGGTCAAGATTGGCACCATTAGAATACTGGAAGGCTTTCATTCCTCTATTTCAAAGAAAAATTACCTTTCTATTTTCCCCAATTTTCATTCAGTTGTCCAATTGTTTATAGAGACATTTTAAACCAAAGTGGTCCATTCACTTACTTTTGAATTTTATTCTATTTTAAAGAATTTCTTTAAAGTTTCTTTGATTTTTTACTAGCCTGAAGTGATTTTCACATTTAACATGTTTGTGGACTCTTCATCCAGACACCCCGGTGCTGGGACTGCTGATGGAAACCACACCCAGGTTTCCATATCACATTTTCAAATGCCCCCTTCCCCATCACCTTGCTCCTTCCCTTCAGTTTTTATCTTTATTTCATCAAATACATCAGTTTCTTTCCCAGGTTTTCTTTCTGCATTCCAGTCTTCTAAATTGTTTATTTATTGTCATAGATTTGGTTATATTTTCTCAGCTTCAGGACTTTATTATCATAATTTTTTTCTCCTGCTCACTTTACTGTCAGCTGGATCTTCTTCAATCCCTAATTTTCTTGCACACCTTCCATTTAATTTTCATTTATACTTCAATTTCTTCATCTGTATTTCTTGTACTTCTCACCAATGTTATTCCACCCATTTCATTCTGTCTCTACACTTACTAACTACTGTCATTTTTCCTCACCTCACACTCTCTTTGTTCCTTAATTCCTCTCAGGGTGTTAGAGTTGTGATGGTGAGTGTTTTACTGGTCACTACTGCATTTCCACAGAGCTGTGCCTGTCAATTGCAATTCATTTTGCAGGAAGATTTCCCCCTCCCTCTTATGGTGCTGGTGACTGGGCTATATGACTTGTGCATGGTGTGAAAATAATTGGCTATTGAACTATATCCATGGTACTTGTGTGAAACATTGCAAAGTCCCATCACAAATCTATGTGCATATCCCGATGCAGACATACTGGAATTATTAGAAATTAAGGCAAAAGGAGACCTCAAAACATCAACAATTGCACAAAAATAGACACTAATGAGAGTAAGTAGATGAAATCCTTCACAAAGGACTATTAAAGAATAATCCATGATTTCAAGAAGGCTTTAAAAAACATCTGAAAAAATTAACAGAGAATATAGATAAATAACTAGAGAAAATTAGAAAGACTTTGCAAGATGTGAAAGAGAATTCAATCAAAGGATGAACTTGCTGAAAATATACCATACCCACCTAAGGAATTATCTCATGAAATCCACTTGTATTACTAATGAATGTAGCCCTGCAAGGAAAAACTAGATGAACCAACTAAAAAGCCCAGGTGCAAGACTTTCCATTAGACTGCCTCAATTAGAAAACAGACAATCAGGATTTCAAAACAAGGTAGACAATTTATTCAATAATTAAATATCCAATAGTCAAACTATGAACATTTCATGTTTTCTGAATGGATTTGATGACAAAAAAAGAAACAGTCTCTTTTTACTCATAATTTGCAAACAATATAATTTTATTTAGTTGTTAATGTGAGGAAAACCTTTTTAAACTCTCACTGCAATTGATTCTTCTGCAAAAAATCAATAGATCATCATGGATTACAAATTTTTTTCCCAAGAAAACTCAGTAAAGCATAGGAAGGAGACCTTTCTGAGAAGAGCTTCTCAGATCCCAGGCCTAGTCCACTCTAAATTTTCCTACATTCCAGGGCTGCCCTCCTCTTCCCAGAAGATGAATCCATTCTGTGACCCCCTTCCACAGGATAGCCATAGAGGCTCTGACCTCCCGTATCTGACCTGCCCATCTCATGCTCCTGTCAGTTCACCAATGCAAATAGGCCACAGGTGCAGGATGAGTAGAGGAAATGTGTTTAGTGTCATGATGTGGACAGGGTCTTTTGAAGCCTGCAGACATCCGTATGGCTTCTCCGTCTCTCTTTTTCTTCCTGGTGTCTCCACTCAGTGTGGATTTAAAAATGGGCCAGTGAAAATGAGCAGATGCGTCTGAGTGACTGAAGATTGCTCCTTGTCACCAGGGGGCCAGGCCAAGGACCACAACATGCAATGGAGAGAGGGAGCCTTGGTCCCCTGTCAGAGGATCAGCTTCACCTGTAGTACCTACACAATCTCAGTCTCAGAACATTCTGTGTCATGAGTTTAGCTGTGAGCAGGGAAAGGCCTTTAGTGAACTGATGTGATCTGTGGTAAAGGGAGAACTATCTGCAGCCTCAACTTGCAGTCCAGAGACATCAATCCAGGAAAACAGACAAGAGCCACGTGTTCTTACAGCTGAACACTGTGACAGCTAATGACAGTGGTGTGTCATACCATGCCCAAGCACTGTGATCTGCATGCAGTGTGATTCCAGAAACCTTCCTCCCTGCAGAGTTGCTCATAGCCAGCAGGGGCACTCAGGTCCACCAGGCTTGTCCAGGACTCACAGAACACTCAGGAAGAGCAGGGTGTTCTCAGCACCACCAGGGGCCACCCACAACCAGTGAAATGAACTCAGGACCAGCAGGAGAGGATGCCCAGGAATTAGCAGGGGACCCTCAAGAATCACCACAGATTCTTCCCAGGAAGTCAGTTAAGGGGTGTCTTCCAGCCAATAAATTTTATCACTCCATGTAGAAAACTGCTTGACGTCATTCAGAGTTACAAATATTTTATTGTTGAAATACAGAAATTGCCTCCATTTAGAGAATGAGATGTCTTGAAAATGATTCTTCATTTTCCAAGTCCCACGCAATGGAATAGCTGTAAACTGGATTATCATGTTGAAAAATCTTACTTTAGAACAAGAGTGATCTTCATGTCATAGAAGAATAAACTCACCATAAATAGGAGAATCATAACTGCCTCAGACATTCTGAATTAAAGATCATTCTTCAATTGTGTGAAAGGTGATGGAATCAAAATGGACACTTTTTCAATGCCCAACACAAAATAAATTTTAAAAATATATAATTATTGAAAATAAATTAGGGAACAAAACCTGTGGTAATGAAACAAAGACCTCATGCATGTGTATCTGATAATAAGAACTCTTACCAATGTCTACACCAAATCCACACCTTTGTACACAGGACATTGGCATACTTCTCAAAGAATATTCTGTTGGACATTTCTCTGGAATTAGAACAGCAGAGGTCTTCATCTCATATAAGAACAGGAGTCTGACAATGTAACAGGTTCCCACAGCGACTGTATATAATCCACAGAAGAGGGAACATTGGGAAAAAGAGGAGCTCTGTTGTGATCAACTCAAAGGACGAAAACTAAAACCTGAGTGGAGAGAGGTCTAAGCTGACAATGGAAACAAAAGTTCTGTCCAGGAAAGGTGAGATCTTCCTTAATCAGCTTCCATCATCCTCTAAAACCAGCTATCACATATCATGAATGTAAACACCTCTTGAGTTTTAGATCAGATATCACTCCCAGGGCACATCAGACCCAGGTAACCCTGGCTTCAATCTATCCCCATGTATAAATTGAGGTCTTTCCACATGCAAATTATTATTCATGCTCTAGGTTAAATTACACCCCAGGCCTGGAGGGGCTCACAGCTCTGTCCTCAAACAGGACTGAGGTCTCTGAAGAATGCAGGACAGTGGTCCAGAAGATGAGACCGTTGGGACTTCTCCTGTGCCTGGTGACAGCTCCTCAATGTGAGTATCCTCAAGTTCACATGTCGGTCTATGGGAATTTGATGACTGCAGGTAACTGACTGTAATGAATCTTCTTGTCCCCAGATGTCCTGTCCCAGGTGCAGCTGCAGGAGTCAGGACCTGGCCTGGTGAAGCCCTCAGAAACCTTTTCCCTCACCTGTACAATTTCTGGTTACTCCATAACCAGTGGGTACTGGTGGAACTGGATCTGCCAGCCCCCAGGGAAGAGCCTGGAGTGGATGGGGCACATCAATTGTTGTGGAAGCACTTACTACAGCCCATCCTCAAGAGCTGCATCTCTATCACCAGAGACATGTCCAAGAGCCAGTTCTCCATGCAGATGAGCTCTGTGACCACAGAGGACACAGCTGTGTATTACTGTGCAAGAGGCACAGTGAGGGGAGCTCAGTGTGAGCCCAGACACAGACCTCCAAGGCATGGTCGCTCCTCACCAGCAGGGGACGCTCAGCTCACAGCAAGCACAGCTTCATTCCCAATGTTAGGGGTAGACTCACATGAACTTTTCTTTCTGAAGCTCTGGTTCCTACCCAGCCAGCTCCTACCATTCACAGTCAGTGATTCTGATTCTGAGTCAGTGAGGTCTCTTCAGATCACTAGATAGAATACTTTTCTATTTTTTTCTGTTTGGTGGTAGTGGTGTATGAACTCAGTCATGTGCTTCCTAAGCAATTTCTCTACCACTGCAGTCACAACACCAGATTATTTTTGTTTTAGATAATTATTTCACATAGAGTTGCATTTGATAGCTAGTGGTGGGCCCTACCTGGTGATCGTCCTACCTTCACCTTCAGTAGAGCTGAGACCACTGGCACACATCCCGATTCCCACGGTGTTTGTTAAGGAATCTCACTAATTATAAGTCATTATCATAGCAACAAGTGGTGTCAACCTTCTTTTACTTTTATTTTCACTTTGTCCTCTGACTATATGCAAATCGAATGTTGTTCAATTTTTGCATGTGTCCACCTTCCAATAACCTTATTAAAATTATATATTCTTCAGTGAATTATTATTAGTTAATGGTGATTATACAGTTGAAACATGAAGACTTTCTTATGATACTATTTCTGTTATTTGCCACATTGAAAATATTTTCCTAATTTATGCTGGCTCACATGTTAATATCATTCCCGATCAATGAAGGATGCCTGCAATCATTTCCCAATAAATTTGACATACTTTATTTATAGAAACTTTTCTTAATTAAAGATTTTTTATGAACATAATAGATTGTACAATGTTATATGACTTAGAATTTTCACATTTGAATTCTGAATATATTTTACATTACCTGGTCAAATTGTACTGATGTATATTAGGTTATATTTACAAATGATTGGATTTAGATTGCCAACATTGCTTAGAATGTGGACACAATCTCTTACAGACACACAAGTTTGAAATTTAATTAAGTTAGTTGGATAATTTATTTTATTTTTAAATATTTCTGCAGTACTGGGTTTTGAACAGAAACCTTTACAACCATTATGGATGCTCTATGCCAGAGTGCTATTGATTTATATATTCATTGATCTATTTCTTTAATTTTTGCACTGAAGTTTGAATCCAGGTTCTCATGCATGCCAGTCATGTGCTCTGCTTCTGAGCTATTCCTATAGTCTCATTATGTAGCTATAAAACTGAAACCTAATATTTAATAGATATTGTAACATTTGATGCATGCACAGCATGTGTAGTGAAAAAATTAGAAATTCATATCCATATCTTCTAGCACTTATCCTTTATGTTTGTTGGAAACGTGTCTACTCTCCTTGTCCTGTTATTTCAAACTACATAAAACATTGCTGTAATGTTTGGTTACTGCACTGTGCTGTAGAACACTAGAATTATTTATTCCTAATTGTGTTTGGAAGCGATCCCCTTCCACTCCATATCCTCCTCCATCTTTCCCAGTCTCTGGTGGTCTCTGTTCCTCTCCCTCCTTTTATAGGAACCATTTTTATCTTCTGCACATAATGGAGATTATGTGTTATATTTCTTTTTTCAGTATTGCTTACTTTATGTGTGCTTTAATCTCATGTAACATACTCATTGCCAAAATGACAAGCATCCATTTTTCTGGATAAATAATATTTCATTTTCTACATAGTACACATTTTCTTCCTCCACACACTCACTGATGGACACCTGGGGGTGTGAAAACTGCTTCAACAAGCAAGTGATTCTAGGTATTGCTACCATACTCAATTCCAATTCATTCATATATACCTAGGGTTGTTAGATCAAATGGTATATCTCTTCTTATTTTCTTAATAAATTACAATACTGGTTATGAAAACAGCTGAACTAGACACAGGAAAGACAGCAGAGTTGAAGTTTTTGTATTTGACTCAGTGAGTGAGAAGAGTCAGGAGAAGAAAGGAGAGACTGTATCCTGCACACAGAAACAGAGGATGAACATCAGGAACCTTCTGAGAGGCACAGGGCACCTGGAAATTGGGAAAACAGAATATCATAAAATAAAGTAGGAAATGGGCTGCAGGTCCAGCCCAGCTCCACACCGATGTGAAGGTATCCAACAACTCAACCACAGTGTAAGCGAAGTGACTTTGGTGAGAGTGAGGCTGACCTTAAGAAGAGCCCTCACTTCCCCCAATCCTTTAACCCATTCATGAAATTTGGGATGGCAGTGTCTTCTCCTGGATGACAAGACAGCATCACATATTATTTACTCCCCATATCATGAAAATGTATAGCAAGGCACCAAATTGTGAGACAGCCTACCCTTTGAGACTGAAGTGAAATGGTGACTGAAAAACTAAGAATGAATCTGGTCAGCACATCTTGGGACACCTTGCTTCAGGGTCTGAAAGGGAGACAAACATGAGAAGGGCTAGTGGAGAGTAAGAGGTTCTGACATTGGCCACTGAGATGTTTAAATAGTAAGGAGCTTCCACAGTGAAGGGCTTCATAGTTGGTGTCCACACCTCTCTTGGCTGGTAGCAAGTTCCCTCACCTGAGGGTCACTGTGGAACAGAGCACCAGGCCTGAGGTTGACAGAAAGCTTGAACTCCAGGATCTGTGTGACAACTGTAGGTGTTTGTTGTCGAGTGCACTGAGAGTTCAGAGCACAGGCCCTGAGAACTACAAGATTTCCCCTGTCCATTTCCTCAGGGGGATTTTGGAGCCATTGGCAGGAGTCCAAGACTGGGCTCCAAAGCTGCCTACAACCTTGGGTATTTTCAGTTAGGCTGTGCATAGAACTCCAAACCTATGTCCTGTGAAAAATGTGCTATCCATGCAACCCCTCACTGAAATGTGAAGGAATGTCTCAAATTCATATGAAACCACTTAGAGCAGCAGGCAGAGCAAGAAGGCCCTCAGTTCTCTACCACCTGTGCAGAATTCAGGGTTTCTTTGTGGGACCACTATCTAACCCTTGGCTTGGTTGCTTCAGGGCCCATGGATCAGTGAGAATCTCCACACCCCTCAGGCTACAAAGCTTCTTAAAGCTAGCAGTGGGTCCAGTTAAAAAGAAGAGGATCTTCTAATGTGTGAACAGCACAGAAGTGGACAGCTGAATTTGACCTGCCTGACCACAAAAGGAATACAAAGCCAATCAATGCACTACAAGCTACAGGATGCCCAGAAAATATTCCCGTATCTCAGTGTGGCTGGGAATACCGTCCAGTACCCTGAGCAAGTGAGTCACTGTTTCTACTGTGCTTCAGACCTAGGTCAGTGGTGAAGAACTTCACATCAACCCTGACTCTAGAAACTCCTGCAGATCACTTTCAGTAATTGATCTTAATGACCACAGGAGATAAAAACTCCTAGCCACTCACTATGCAAATCCTAATAAAGAACCAAAAGTATTATGAAACAAACAGGCACCAAGACCCTTCTAAAGATAGGAACTCCTAAAAACAGACACAAATGAAGGTGAAGAATAAGAATGACCAGAGAAATTAAAGATGGCATGTATGAACGCCTGAATGACTTCAATGAAAAAACAAACAGCTGAATTAAGTAAGGAAGACAATGCAATATATTCAAGAACAATTCCATAAACCCATAAAAATACTGAAGAAAATCAAATTGAAACTCTGGAGAGGAATAGATCAATGAGAGAAATAAATACTGCTATTTGAGGTGTGTAACATGGTTTATGTGTATTTTTCCATGTGTGGTGTGGAAGGAAGTTCATTGGATGCTTTCAATCTAATTTTTCATGGTTATTTGCAGACATTCTCACTGATATTGTTAGTAGTGCTAATAGGTAATGAATAACATATGTGAATTTCTTGATTGCTTTACATTTTAATTAAGAAGCAGGATCTAATTTTGCTATTTTTAATTGGAAAAGAAAAAATTTCCCCATTTGAACTGTTTCATGGTGAAACTGGAGGAGATTATAAAGTTACGAAAGATTAATTGATAGCATCAATTGTGTTCAATCTTCTTCATGATCACCTTTGAACTTTACTTCCCTGAAAAGATGAATATATGGTTTTATTTATAAATAAGTGGAAATTAAATCCTTGTAGTTTACTGTGGGGAAAAAAAGCCCCATGTATTTAGGTGAAATGCTAAATAAAATAACTCAGGTTACTGAAAATGAAGTCATTTCAGATTTGTCTTGCTTATGAATCTGAGTAGACAAAATGTCACACATGCACACTCTTTTTACAATAGACAACACAAAGGTAAATTATTGGAGCAGTGAAGGATACAGGGCCTGTCTTGCTGAGAACCTTTCTCTTCCACGAAACAGTGTATTTCCCCCACACAGCACAGAATGTATTTTCCAATTATTACTTGCACTCATACAGCATGAAGCTACATACCTGCATAAATATACTTATACACACATTCTTACACTTATACACACTGCTGGTCTGTAAGTACCACAGAGAGAACCAATAGCAGAGACAGTTTGGTATTGAAAGTGGTTTGCTCCATGTTGGTAGGAATACTCAGAACTTCTTTATATGCTACGAACTCATGTACTTGTTCTTCTGGTAAAGAACATTTTGTGAAGATGCTATAATCAAAATAAAAAAGAAATGGTGACATAGGTGGCTGCAGTTTAAATAGCTACAGCCAATTAAAACCTCAGAAAATGGGTAAGGCAAACCCAGACATGAATGGAACACAGGACTAGAACATCACTTTGGGATGAAGCAATGACTGCTGTGGGCTTCAGGAACAGATTCTGAGGAAACTTGGTGACTTTACACTTGAGACTCTGGGTAGATTCAGTGGGATCCTAATTAGGACAAAGATTAGGACTCTGTGGTGAATAAGAGTGAGGAGGAGAGAAACACTAACCTTTTAACAGTCTGAAATCTTCCCCACCTCCTTCTATAGAACTGCACAAAAGGCTCAGGACGAATTCAATTACACGTTTTTCTTACACAAGGATGCATTCTCTACTCTCCCATTTCCATTGTCCATTCAGGAAATGTTGCTTTTGACCCCTGTAATGTAAATCCTAAGGCTCAGCCATGTACCTGGAACACAAGTGTTAATTCATTTTGTGGCTCCTGCAGGCCCCTGTGAAAGGCTGGTGGGCCTTCTCAGGTCACATATTTCAAGTGCAGGGAAATTGTATGTTTCAGTCAGAAGAGACCTCAGTGG